TAGCCAGGTGTGTGCGGCATAACGAGCGTTTATGTAGGTTAACATGCTGTCCCCCGCAGCAACAGCAGCTAATGAATTGCTCTATAAAGTATAACCGATAATGAGGCAAGCGCTGTGCTCCAACTGCTGGGCGCTGGCGGTGACTGATATGACGAAGACTCCTTGTTGTCGCCGCTCACGGAAGCGCTCGTCCGTGAAATATGGGCAGTGGGTTATACTTATATACCTAGATATATACACAGGTCCAACTGTACCGACAGCCTGTAATTCATTGTCAGTTGCATTCATTGTTTTGACCTGATTTGCATGTCTATGAATGTGCCACTCATTTATTTTGCCGTTTGCACGTCTCGTGTGCACCCCATAACCATTGGGGGTCATAGCAATTATTTTGCCTTGTAAGCAAAAGTTCATTGTTAATTGACAGCCGGCAAGGAGGCAATGAAAAGCACAGCCAGCGCGCGCTTTAAACAAGGCCACTTACATAACCAACAACACAAGGTAGAACAACAACAACTTGCACAAGAAAATTGTTGGTACAATAGGTGCCAAGTAGGGGTAAGTATGGGCAAAGACAAAAGGCTAACACTAATGAGACGTTGTGGCGCTGCGTCGAAAGCATGAGCAGCAGCAACAACAAAGTGACCCAACAGCAGCGAAATGTTGTTTGTGGCAAAAGTGTGTCATAACATTTTGTGACGTAAGATCAATGGTGGCTGCTTGGACGACTGGCTGACGGGTGAAGCGTTGCTTCGACGGCAAGTGGCTGGTTTTTGTAGTAATTTTCGAGTCCACTGTCCCTCTATATATATATATATATATATATATATAATATATACATATTCACATACAACTGCTGTTCTGTGCTCAACTGCTTAATTTGCATTTGCATAGCCGCCATTTTCTTTCAATCATTTATATAAATTATTGTCTTTAATTAGTTGCACAGCTCATTAGCAGCTGCTGTCTTGTCAGTTTGGCAGCACAAGATTTGTTTGCTCTCTTCTTTTGTTAAATAAATTAATTGCAATCAGTTGCATATGGACACAATTGGGCGAATGCTGAAAATGGTGGCGAAGTCAAAATTTCAATTATGGCTTACACTTTCTAATTTTTGTATTCGAGCTATGTATAATATGTGAAGACTTTAGGTTAGGTTGAACTGGTAGGTAATAAACCATACATAGACCAGCCTTGGTCCTTTCCGATACCAGATGCCTGCGCTTGACGCGAATTTTAACAGACTCTGCGGCCTCACTATCATTACTTCCTTCGGTGTATCATACCGTGGTTACCCCAGCGGCTTATAGCGTAGTCTTGTCATTGCGATACGAGTGCATAAGACATACTCCACTGTTCCGCTGGTGCCCTGCTCTAAACATTTCCTGCAGTCTTCTCGATCTGTTTGCCTTATTGTGTGTGCGTGTGTCCCCACCAGACAGTGACCAGTTAGTGTTCTTATCATTTTCCAACAGTCTCTTCCATCGAGTCATTAAGGAATTTTGTGTACTTCCGATCAATCGCGATGTCTTTGTGACCTGGTAGCCAGTGGAAGTAAAGTTGCTTACTTCTGGCAGCACTTTTTACTGCTGCCCTGTTTTCCAAGACACTTCGGGCCGATATGCGGTACGAGCTTACTACCTTGATTGCTGTTTAGCTGGCTACGTAGATGTTGACTCTGGAATAGCCTGCTGGTGCACTAGAGACCAGCTCCGCTGCTTTCTCAACAGCAAAGAGTTGAACTTGAAATATGTCAAGACTTTAATCGATACTCCAAATTTTAGAGAGTGTCGAATCGAACAAACAACTTCTTTTTCTTCTTTATTGATAGTAGAGTTTACAACAGCGCAACAGTCGTTCTTCCTTTTTCAATTGGAGAGTGTAAGTGCAGCCAGGTCTTTCCAACGGAGTGGTCTCCTCTTTTTCTGCTTTCCGCCCTCGAATGCTCTCAGAGCTGGAGTGTTTTCTTTCATTCGGACTCTTCCGTAGAGCCTTGTCCTCGAAAACTCGTAACTCCAAAAACTGGTTACCACCAAAAATGTGGCCCGGAATAGAAACAAAATGCATAGCAATTTCACATGGCAATTACTTTGAAGATAGTGGAGGTGGTAAGGACTGCGTTCAATATATACTCCAACCCGGTTATGAAATATACCGAAAATTGTTCTTCTGAGACACTGCATATGTTGGATAACATCAAGGCTACTAAGACGGTTGTCTAAAATAAATTCTGAATGTTTGAAAGAGGTGAGAGACCTGCTCCAACCGTTTTTGTCGACGCATTAAGACTAGTAGAACACTTTATGTATGAGCCTATAGTAAAGACACGAACCATAATGAACAGAAAATCATGCATCATCATTTTGCAAAGACGTCAGCCTCCATTATACCGCTTCTTTTATTTGTTTATACTCCTTTGGGCATAGCAACTTTCCTATTTTCATTCCTACTTCCATGCCTTTATCACTTTCACTGCATTGAAAACTGCAAAATCACTGATCGCTTCCTCTGCCACAGCTGTTCTCGTAAAGCAATTAATAATTTTAAAATTATATGCCATGCACATGTGTGCGCTCCCGCAGAGATCATTCGCCCCACTTTGCTTCCCTGTGGCTAAATTTGCTGACGCCTACATTTTCGAGATAAATTTCATTTACGATAAAAAATCGAAATCTTTTTCCCTCTTTCCGTGGTTTTGAATACCATTTCGGTGCTGCATTAGCATTGCAGGAAAACTTCCATACTCACACACACCGTGCAAACCACAAAATTGCGGCTGTTCGGTGTTGCCAACCGCGGCCATCACGTGATCATGTATTGGTGTGAATTCCAGCTGTGCCTTTGAGCCAAAAATCGCAGTCAAAAGGCAGCCGTTGCTAGTCCACCACAGGTAGGCGTCACAACACACATAAATGCCAAGCAATGCAATACAGCGCTCACAAACACACACACACGCGCACAGCCATGCATTCCACAACATACGCGTTGCGGTTGTGCATCATTTACGCCAGCTGAGTATGCGCCCACATCCTTTTGAGTTAATTCTACTTTTTCTTTTCACTTAATATGATTTTCTATTTGTGCCAGCTTTTCAATTTTTTCCCCATTACCTTTGCAACGCATACAAATGCGTATTCCTGTGTGTGTGTGCAAGTGTACGTGAGGCGGTTACTCGCTCCTCACTGACCTTTAATAATTAAAATTGACGTGTGCCCTTGCCGCATTGTGGTTTAAGGCGATTTTTCTTTATTCTCACCTTTTCAAACTCGCAGTCAATAGCAAAATTTTGTGACAACAACAACAACGCAACATTATTTGTTTTATTGTTTGTTGGTCATTTACTGAGAAATTACAAACATATTTCGTTTTGAATTGTTTCGAGCCCACGGTTATTCAGCTCTGGAAATTGTTAATTTTAAAATATTTGAAAAATTCTTTTTTTTTTTTGTTATTGTTGTTTTAGTTGCTCACATTTCAATGGAAGCAACCATTTGAAGTTGGTTTGTTGTCAAAATAAACAAAGGAATGAGCAAACAATTTGTAGTCCAAAGTATTTCAGCACATTGTTGGTGYACATGAGTGATGGCCGGGGGATGAGTAGGCAAAATTTAGGAATTGAGACAAAAACCATTGGACAAATGTTAAATTTTAAAACGATTATCGGTTTAAATGTGACTACTTTTGTTTGAAATTGAATTATGATGAATTTTATATTGTTGTGAGGTATATTTATAAAAGCATTTCYTGTAGCCGAGATCTAAGCCGAGTTTATTGAATTTTAATACTGAGAAAATAATTAGATTTCTAAAGAACTCTATTACGCTCAAACGATCGTTTGAACATAGATCAGATAATAAATTTTGTGCAATTCTTATCAAAACCTGCTGAGATAAATTWAATATTGAGTTAGTATTTATAATACCAAAAGCTCTGATTAAAGCCATGAAGCTAGAGCTACCYCAGTACAGATATCAATGAATTATAAACGACTCCGAAAGCGTCTCCGCCGCCAATATGGAGATCATACCGAAGTCAGTTCCTTAGAATGGAGAAAAGGGATAATAGGYGAGAAAGATACCATCTCAGTTCAAAATGTGCTGCAGAGTAGGTACGGGAGAATATTCCGATTATATGGACATTTCTCTCTCTATCTAAGCGGAACTACTGGACATAGAGRCGACCTGCGAAACTCTATAACTACGAGAGCAACAATATATACGGATAGCCAGGCGRCTCTCCTRACCTTGTCGTCGCSCATCACTAATTCCAACAAAGTCCTTAACTGCAAGAAAGCACTGAGCTCCCTAGAAGACAAGCTACATCTAGCTTCCTGATCACAGTAACATTTTCGGCAACGAAAAGCCGACGAGTTGGTAAACTCAGGAGCATTCCGAAACGAATCCGTCGTAGAGTTAATACCAAGACCGCTAGGATCGATCAGGAGAAAGCTCAATATATAATTTCAACAACAACAAAAATGCAATATATTTAAACAAGTGTGGTCAATATATGACAAGAAAAGAACTAACGACTTATTAAATAGGTCCAGGAAAAGTATRTACASAATAACCGCTACCATAACAACAACATTYGCTGAGGCTGCGAACTMGTAGGGAATGAGGAAACAATTTTCCACTTTCTCTGTGAATACCTAAAATCTGGTAATAGTGGAAAATGCGCAGAAATGCTGGACAAAACGAAAAGTGCTGAAATGATTCAAGTTTATCATCTCTACCATAATAAGACTATTTTACTATTATTTTATTTTTAAAATTATTTATTATGGTTCTAATTCAACCCATTACTCATCACCGACATTTCCTAGAAAAGTTTTGTTAGAGCTTTTAATTTAGTCTCATTAACTTGTTGCCAAAATTAGTTACGCCAAACTTAATTTATTTACTAAATAACACAAAAAATTATGAAATTTAGTATAAAACGCGTCAAAGAAACACAAATTGTACAGTTGGTTTTCAGCTTCAATTGAATTTAGTCAGAATATGCCGTTAATTTTACTTTGTTTCATGGCCGCGCTTTTTGGGTTTGCGCAGGTGAATATATTGGATACTTCAACACATGAAACCATATAAAAAAGTTCATTAAAAATATTTATGTTCAATTCTTACAGGCGGATATGTCCCCRCTGGAATTAATGGATGCCTGCAACAAGGAGAGTGGCATCAGTAAAGCGGAGTTGCAGGAATACTTTGACAGTCAAATGGATCCTGCTAAGGCTACCAATGCCATTAAGTGTCACATGAAGTGTGTTAGTGAAAAATTCGGTTTCTATAAAAGCAATATGCTGGATGAAACGGTGACAATTAAATACCTGAACGAAAATAATATGGCACCGAAAGCTAGTGTGAACACTGTAAAGCAGAGCATACAGCAATGCAATCAATTGAAAGGTGCCAATTCTTGCGATACAGCATTTCAAATTATGTCATGCTTTAARTCGCAGCCTATTTTTACCTGAGAGGTAGAAGAGAGTTGGAATATTTTAGTGAGATAATAATAATAAAACACAAACATTATAATAAGGATAAGCTCATTCTATATTAAGACGTTTTTGTAAGACTAAGATAAGACAAGAACAGAAACAGAAGCAGAAACAGAAATATTTTCAGTTTTCAAAAGTTTACCTTAAATATCTATAAATCAGCATGTATTATAACATATTTCGAGATTTTTGGCAAACTCACACAGAAATATTACAACAAAGTTTAAATAATAACAAAATACCTTATTTTAAATATCAATAATTAATTAGAAAAATAACAAGCCTACAGCTTGTCCTCGGATAATTGAGCCTAGCAAACAGCTATCCTTGTAGGAAATTGTATGCATCAAAAACAATAGT